TTATAGAGTTAGAACCCCACCCTTACCTTGGATTGAAGGTCGCTCTACAATTTCTGGTTGGATTCTCATTCTTGCCGTTTTCCACTTTCTCTAGCAGCTTGCATGTTCTCTTCCAAATCCTTATTTCTTTCTACTGCTTCCTTCTTTCTATTCTAACAACAAATAATAAAATAACCCTATTATTCTATTATTCTTTAATGGGCTTAAAACCAATACACCCCCTTATTACTTCTATTCCTTCAAAATAAGCCCACATTAAATAATATTACACTTCTAATATTATTTCACCACATAATATTATACCTCTAATATTATTTCTCCACTTAATAAAATAATTAAATCCAATTAATTATAACACATCTTCACAAATATTCCAAAAATAATTTAATTAAATAATGAATTAAATTACGGGCGTTACACAGGCGCCTAGAGATCCAATGGGGGCAACTTTTTTGGGGTGCACCACGGGGCATAGCTTATCACCAACGTTGGATCTGATTGGATGATGTTGATTGAGGGAGTGCATGGCAAGCACGCTGAATCGTTTGCACATGATCTGAAATGAGAAACATGGAAAAATAAAATATCTCACGCCTGGCTCGAACCCAGGACCAGGCGTATGAGAGTCTTATGTGCCAGTGTGTTGTCACTTGGGTTGCGTGTTCATCTGGTATATTAGTCAAAACAAACAAATATAATTCAAAGTAAGTGCTAATATCAACCATCAAAATACACGCGTGTACAAGTGGCCCCCTGAGATTTGAATGGATGAATCACCACATGGCCTGATGCCACGCAAACCCTCCGACGAGTCTGACCACCACTCGCGGTGGTCAACTCCTTCTTCTCTGATGGCCCTTAATTTCAAAACCTGTAAAACAAAGATAATTAAAGCCCCAAATTAACCCTAACCCCCCCTAAATGGCATGCTACGAACCCGATGGTGATTTCAGTTTTGTCTGAAGTGGCCTGGAAATAGGGATACAAAGACACATATGTGGTTAGAAACAAACAACAATGCACGAATTTAAAAATATGAATGATGAACAAAATGCAAAACGGAAAAGAGAGATATCACGATTCAGGTCTGGGGAACTATTGAGACCTACCTTTACTTACCCTATAAATGTTCAGGAAATGGTTTCAAGCCTTAGTTTGGATTGAAACTGCTAGAAATGTGAGATATAATTTTCACAACTTCTTTGAATTTTGGAGAATTTTTGGAGAGTTTTTTTATGCAGTGATCTCATGTCCTTTCTGATCTGTTGTGCTTGCATATATATATATATATATATAGTATATATATATATATATATATATATATATATATATATATATATATATATATATATATATATATATATATATATATATATATATATATATATATATATATATATATATATATATATATATATATATATATATATATATATATATATATATATATATATATATATATATATATATATATATATATATATATATATATATATATATATATATATATATATATATATATATATATATATATATATATATATATATATATATATATATATATATATATATATATATATATATATATAGAGAGAGAGAGAGATGGAATGGCTATCAAATATGGAACGAAATCAAAGCCATGAAGCCATGATAAAGCAAGGATCAAACAACTTTAAAACTTGCCAAAATTGCAATATTTCTTCCCATATTTAGTCCCCATGGATTTTGCATGTCATAACAGTCTTGCATGAGTTGTATTGGCCTTCAAAGCTGACCAAATCAGGCCCATATGCATTAACCCATGATTTTGTGATTTTATTTAATTTACTTTGTTTTTAAATTAAATAAAATCAAAGTAAATATAAATAAAAGTAAAAGAAATGTATGAATGGACTTAGAGGTCCTCTAAGTTGTTGTGAATATGTTTGAACATAAAAAACTAGGCTCATTAGTTCAAAATTCCAATTTTGCTCTTTTTGCATTTCATGAAATCATTCAAAATTTCCCAAATTGTACAACTCATAACTTGCTCAATTTTCACCTTTTGAAGGTTATCTTGGACTTTTTGAAAAGCTCAAGATGTCCTCTACACTTTCTCTTTTGGTCAGTTTGGCATTTGGAGAAATTATCTTGATGTAAATTGCCTTGACAAAAAGTGTCTTTTGTTGACTTTTGAAAATGACCTATAATGTATTAGGTCATATCTTTCAAATGAAGCATTTTTTGGTCTTGAGCATAAAAACAAAGTTTTAAAGAATTGAATTTTATTCAAAATGAGATTTAGTTGGGGAAAAGTTGATGAAGCATGTGAAAGTTATGCTTGGTCAAAGTTCAGTTGACTTCTCCCAAGGAAACCCTAATTTGACAATTCTTGACTTTTGATGATTTGAGGGCTTTTCTTGAGGAATCATGATCAACCCTTGATCAAATGATGAATATCGCTTCAAAAAATTTTTGTTGACCAAAAATATTGACATTTGACTGCATATTGACCACAATTGACTTTTTATCTAATGCAGTTGATTTTTAATCATCTGAGTCATTGACTGAGCAAACTTGTGACGTAAGACTTGAAACTTGACATGAACATTGTTGAAGACCTATGGAGAACCATGGGAACCAATTGAGGCCCTTGCAACCCAAACTTCCTTGATAAAATCAAAACCCTAGTTGTAGACCTTTGGTTTAGGAGGAGCATTTGACTGGTCATCCGTTGAGATTCTTGAGTATTTGAGAAGCCTTGAAAGAATGCCTTGAAGAAAATGGGAGGGAAATTTTTTGGGTACAACATGTCCTATTCTTTGACATAGGAGATTTCAAGACCAAATTGTTTTATTTGTCGAACAGTTCCAATGCTCTATCTTTCATAACTACTGAAAAAACTTTTTTGACCAGTTGTTCAACACTTAGCAGATTGCACTTCATTCTAGGTACATATAATACATTTTTTATCATAGATTTCACTTCATTACTCCTTTAAATAACTATGTCGCCAATACTTCTGGTTGCAACGAGCTATTATCAGCAAGTTGACCTTACTCTTCTTCGACTCGTCAAAATCTGCTAACCATACTTTTTGATCAATCATGTGATTCGAGTAGTCTGAGTCGAGGAACCAGATCTTGGAGTCGATATGATCATGTGCAACTGCATCCATAACCACCATATCTTCAAAATCATATGAATCTTGGTGTGAAAGGTTTGCTCCTTCCTCGTTGCATTTTTCCGCTCCCTTATCTTTCCTGTACCAATAATTTTTGGCCAAGTGATCCCATTTTTTACAGTTATAACATTGCACACCTTTTTTCTCTTCTTTGTCTTTTTTATAAGATTTTTCTTCTCCTATTTTCGAGGATTCATAAGCCTTATCATCGATCTTAAGGTTTTGAGTGAGTATGTGGTGTGTGTGTTGCTCCTAAAGAAAATGCCACAAGTTACAATGGTCCCTCGTGTTGACCCCCTCGAATTACCCCAACAAATTATGCAACCTTACAATCTTTCTTGTTTGTCTCCTTGTGTGCAGTTTTATGCATGTCAGGTGCATCTTGAGCAAGCTCAGGAACGCCGTTTTCGACCACTTCTAAGATTTCGTAAAAACCAAACAAGGACTTCATCTGCTTGCTCCGTCGGTTCCAATTTTTTTCGTCAAGAATTGTAAGAGAATTCAGAATGCCATTAGTATCATTCATCTTTGCAGTGATTTATTAACAACCCATGATCCTGGAAACACGATCATCGACGTGTATTTTTTAAAAACACGATCAAGAATCTAACCAGAGCTATAAATACCAATTTGTTAGCATGTGAGACACTTTTAATAAGGAGAGAAAGAAAGAATAAAAAAATAATGATTGATATTATTGAATGATAAAACTGAATTCGATAATATCTATTTACATACAACTAACTAACTTTTATATATTAAGTAATAAATCTTAAACCCTAATTAACTGAATTTAGACTAAACAATATAAACCTAAATGTACTGGATGCTGATTGCTGATTATGATGTTGATGGCAGACTCTCTATCTACTACTTATTTCTTCCTTATTTTTCTCTTCTTGTGTTTTCTTATTCTCTCATAGTGATGTTTTCTTCCCCCTTTTATATCTCTCATGAGACCTCTATTTTCCTTTATCATTTCTCACTTGATTTCTTTCTTATTTTTTCTATTATTTTATGTTTAATTTTTTTATCAGTGTATTGTCTATGTATCATGTTTTTTTATATCTACACGTTGAAATAGATTATGACTAGCATGCATAATCACACTTCTTTACATTATTGAATGTTATGTAATGTATATGTTATGTTACAAGTATATTTTTAATTATCAAATTCCGCTCATTTTAAATGGGTAGTTGATAAGTTTTGAAGTGGAGATTGAATCAAAGTGTTGAAGTTTAAAAGTGATAAGCATGTCATTATCCAATTAGATTGTTTATTTTTGTTTGATTATGTTATTTGAGAATGGATTTGGAATTTGTTACCATCTTTTCTATTTGGAGGATTCTTTTCCAAAATTATTTTATCTTTTTTTGTTGAATTGACCTTGTTACCATCTTATATATATATATATATATATATATATATATATATATATATATATATATATATATATATATATATATATATATATATATATATATATATATATATATATATATATATATATATATATATATATATATATATATATATATATATATATATATATATATATATATATATATATATATATATATATATATATATATATATATATATATATATATATATATATATATATATATATATATATATATATATATATATATATATATATATATATATATATATTTAAAAAATAATTTTTTTAAAATATTTTCAGTTATGGTCAAAGCAATATTATAAATTGAAATGATTATATGAATAAACACTTAAATAAACTATTATAATTATTAATTTTATTTCAATATCCTGTTATATTTAAAACAAGATAAACTTTGATATTTTTATTCTAAGCAGTACAATCATATATACAAACACAAAGACACTTATAATCAGGTTTAGTAGGATCTACATTTGTGCCAACACAAGTTCCATTACCATTATGACTTTGAGTGCACCATTTTCCACAAGCTTCACGCATACATTCGCCATCACCATATGCGACACAATGTCTTGGCTTGTTTTCACCATTTGCTATAGATATGACTGTGAAAATAAATAACATATAATTACCTTAAAAAATATTAAAAATAAAAGTCATTATAAATTAAATAAATTAAGAGATATCTTTTAACCATTTTGCTTGAATATATTTTTTTGCTAATAAGTTAGAAAAATAACCAACAGCTTTTTGTTGAATAATATTTCCCTCTTTCTCCAATTTTTAACCAAAATAAAATACTAGTCATTTTAATCTTATATAATATCTAAAGTTATGAATCACTATTTCTTCATAAAATATATGAATACTTGACTCAGTACAATCGTTATGAATATTATATTTTCATATGATTGTATAACACATACAAATACTAGTAAATTTTATATAAATATTGGAATACCTGAAAAAATGAAGGTAATATAAATGATTGCAAAGAAGAAAATTTTAGCCATTTCAAACAGCTTCGAAACCAAAAGCAGCAAGAAGACTTGTTCTTGTTCAAAGAAAAACTAGGTATTTATATAAAAATAATTGATGTAAAAAACTAATAGATATAATAGAAAAATAAATATATTACTTATATTTGTACCATATTAAACAAATGGTCAATCTCTAAATTCTCGAGAAAGGAAAATAGATTACAATTTCAAATTTCCAGAGTGGAAATAAATGTGTATTATATAAAAAAAAATGATTTTAGAAAAAATATCATCTTATACTTATCTAATACAATTTAATATTTTATTTTGTCAGTATCATTGGTATGACCATTTTAGTCAAACAAATTTTAATATATATTTTTAGAAATATAGTTAAAATTTTTTGATTAAATATTTTTAATTTGAATTATTTTATTTATAATAAATTTATGAGTCTAAATATTTTAAGTATTTATTTCATTTCAGTGTAAAATAATCAAAATATGTTATGAGTTTTAAAAACTTTAGATTAAAATTATGGTATTAGTTCTTTCGTTTTAATTTATTTATGAAATTAATTTTTTTTTAATTTTAATTTTAAAGAATTTTGACTTTTTTAACACATTTGCATTTGAAATTAGTGATTTGTTCTTTTTTTTTTTTAAGATGTGTCACTTATAAAACGTGACATAAGAATTCTTTTATTACAATAAATAATATATTTTTTAATGAAAATTTTATTTTGACTAACTAATCAATCGAGGTAACATCTATTTCATAAAGTGTCACTACTATAAAAATATATATTAGATTTCGATTGGATATGAGATGTTATTTCGGTTTTAAATATGAGATAAAAATCTTACCGATGAGTATTGTGTAAAGGTAGATGGTTCAATTTCTAGGGAGATCTTTTTAAAAATATTTAAACCGAAAATGCATATTTCTTCTGGATTTTGACATTCCACTTACAAGTAAAACAACTTTCACCTCGATTTTGACATTCTACCGACGGATAAAACACGATTGAACTTATTATATCAAATGTGAATTACTTAGTTCACTAACTAAACATATAATTTCTCAAATTAGTTAGAAAAATAATTATATAAACATATATGTTATATTTGAAGAACAACTTACACTAATCAATGATTTTCGAACACCTAATAACTCATTATTTATCTCATATCTTTTAATGGTTAAAATCTCTTCAATGTTTCAAGTTCTTTATTCAACACTTTCTTTTCGACTAATTCATTCTTCAAAACATAAAATTTGATGCTTTACAAAATTAATAAGTATGAAAGAAAATTGAACAAAAAACTAAAAGTATTAAAAAGATTTTAATAATTAAAAAATATGAGATAAATAATGAGTTGTAAAAATCCTCAAAAAAAACATTAATTAGAGTAACATATTTTTCAATACAACATAATTTTTTATATTATTATTTTTAAAAATTAATAAATTATATGTTCAGAGAGGGGTTAATAAAAGAAGGGTGAAATATGACCTAAAGCCCAATGTTCAATTAATAATGGATTAAAATTAATTGTGATAAAATCATTTATAAAATCTTCTATTTTTACATAAAATGTCAATGTGGACTATAATGAATGTTAAAGCTTTATGTTGGAACTAGAATTTTACAAACTCTTTCATCTATATCATTGAACTTGATTGGTTCAGTTTCAGCTCTTTGTACTCAAGTTTAATGTCTTTGTTAACACATCATCTGACAAATGATTATCCACGATTGAACATAGAAAATAAACTAGTTACAGTAAAAGAATTTTCCAACATTTTCAATCTAAAATAAACAACCCCTCGCCTTCCTTGCTTTGATGTATGTTCACACATCATCCATGGTTCACGTATCACCACCAGTGAACTTTGCATATCCATTTAACAACGCAGACGGAAACACATGAAGTTACATCGGAAAATTTGCATGTTAAAACACTCACTATGAACATTGTTGTTCCTTTAACTAATTCTCTTTGCTTCATTTTATACTCAGGATATATAGAACATGCGAGATAATGCAAAATCCTTAATAAACTAAGCTATATAAACAAAACATTTTCATTGTTATGGATATAAACAAAACATTTATATTCGGTGTTGATTTCAGCTGGATTGGTATTAGGTGGTGTTTGTTGGTGTTGGTTAAATTCAAATCAGTCTTGGGAAAATCAAAAGTCAGATTCCTTTTGGCAGCGAGAAAATTTATTTTATTAGGGACCTAGACATAATTATTGCTGTAACTCTTAATATTCTATCATGTGACTCTATATAAATCACATTGTATCTCATTGTAAAAGTTAGTTGGACAAAATCTATAAAGAAAAGACAGTTAACAGTGCACACTCATTCTCTCATATTTCTTCATAGGTATCAGAGTGCATGGCAAATATGATGGGTCAGATGTCACTACCACGACTTTCGAAGTCGAACTATGAAAACTGAAGTATCCAGATGAAGGCGCTGCTAGGATCGTTAGATGTATGGGAAGTGACTAACGATGGGTTTGAAGAACCATCAAATACGACGACATACACAGTTTCTCAGAACAAGGTGTTGAAAGAAACGTGAGCAAGGGACAAAACAACATTGTACATGCTGTTCAGAGCAGTTGATGAATCAGCCTTCAAAAAGATTGTTGGTTCGACTACGTCGAAGGAGGCGTGGGACACGCTTGAAAAGGCTTTCAGAGGAGCTGATAGAGTCAAGCAAGTTCGCTTGCAAACTCTTCGAGGAGAAATGGAGAGAATGAAGATGAAGGAGACAGAGTCCATATCAGACTACATTACTCGTGTGCAGACGGTGGCAAATCAACTCAATCGAAATGGAGAAACAACGTCTGATGCTCGTATTGTCGAAAAGATTATGAGATCTTTGACAGACAAGTTTGAAAACATAATATGCGCAATAGAAGAGGCGAAGGACCTTTCAACAATCACTGTCGAAGAAGTCGATGGTTCGCTTGAGGCACATGAACAGCGTAAAATAAAGAAGAAGGAAGAGGCACTTGAGGATGCAAAACCCAACAGAGATGAAAAGGCACTTTTCTCTCAAAATTGGCGTGGGAGATGACATGGTCGTAGATGACGTAATGGTGGTCGAAGTTACCAAAATAACAACTTCGACAGAGGACAATCAAGCCAACAAAACTGGCGTGACAGAGGACGTGGCAAGAGAGGTGGTAGATCGAATTACAACAACATTGAATGTTACAAATGCAACAAACAGGGGCACTATGCGAAAGATTGCAACTCCTACAGTTGCTACAACTTTGGTAAAACGGGACATCTTGCAAAAGACTGTCGATCCAGAAGAAAGGTAGAAGAAACAACAAACCTTGCCCTAGAAACAAAATCGAATGAAGGATTTCTGTTAATGACTCAAAAGGAAGCAGAAGCAGAAAATGACACTATGTGGTACCTGGACTCAGGATCAAGCAACCATATGTGTGGTCATAAGCATTTGTTCAAAGCCATAAAGAAAATTGAAGATGGACATGTTCGTTTAGTGATGCGTCGAAAGCAAGAGTCGAAGGGAAATGAACAATTTATTTCTTGCAGAAGAATGATTTGATAGGATCAATCCAAGACGTGTACTATGTACCAAACCTCAAAGCAAGTATTTTGAGTCTGGAATAACTCACTGAAAAGGGCTATTCGATTCTCATGGAAGATCGAAGCATGCATTTAAAAGAAAAGTCAAGACATCTGGTTGCTCAAGTCGAAATGGGGAGGAATCGAATGTATAAGTTGAATTTGAGAAGCATTCAGAAAAGTGTTTACATGTCAATATCAAAGACCAAACGACCCAGTGGCATCTTCGATTTGGTCATCTACACCGGGTTGGACTAAGGAGGTTAGCAAAGAAAAATATGGTGCATGGACTGCCAGATGTAGAATTCGAAGGAAAAATATGTGAAGAATGTGTGTTTGGCAAACAGACGAAAACTTCATTCCCAAGGAAGGCAGAATATCAGGCCAAACAAATTCTGGAATTGATCCACACTAACATATGTGGACCAATTACCCCATAATCCTTCAGTGGCAAAAGGTACTTCATATCCTTCATTGATGATTTTTCAAGGAAAACTTGGGTGTACTTTCTGAAAGAAAAATCTGAAGCCTTCGAAGTATTCAAGAAGTTTAAGATAATGGTTGAAAAAGAAACAGACAAACACATAAAAGCCCTTCAACCAGACAGAGGTGGGGAATATACTTTGATAGCCTTTATTAAGTACTGTGAAGAGCAAGGCATAAGAATATTTCTGACTGCAGCTTACTCACCCCAACAAAATGGTGTAGCGGAAAGGAAGAATCGAACAGTCCTTGACATGGTTCGATCAACGCTGAAGAGCAAAAACACATCGAAGGAGTTTTGGGCAGAAGTTGTACAGTGTGCTATCTACGTTCAAAACATATGTCCACATTCGAAGCTGGGAGATTTAACACCTCAAGAAACTTGGAGTGGTCGAAGGCCAACTGTGTCTCACTTCAAAGTATTTGGAAGTGTGGCTTATGCACATGTGCTTGATCAAAGGAGAACAAAGCTGGAAGATAAGAGTCATAAATACATACTCATTGGGTATGACGAAAAAACGAAAGGTTACAGACTCTTCGATCCAATAAACAAAAAGGTGATAGTCAGTAGAGATGTTTGAGTAAACAAAGGAAGAAAATGGGACTGGGACAATTCGAATGAGGTTGTGGTCGAAGTACCAGATGCTATATCGAAAGACACTTTGACAGATCCAGAAGACTCTGATGATGAAGAAGGATCCTCACAGCACAGGTTGCGAAGCTTACAAGACTTGTATGAAAACACAGAAGAAGTACATCTTATATGTTTATTGGCAGACACTGAAGACGTTAGCTTCGAAGAAGCAATAAGAAACAGAAATTGGAAGGATGCTATGAATGAATAAATTAAGGCCATCGAACGAAATAATACTTGGGAACTTGCTGAGTTACCAAAAGGAAGTCAAACAATTGGTGTAAAATGGGTGTTTA